TTTTTTTTTTTCAGGTCTGATTTTCACTATTGCTTAAATAGTGCTTTACTGCGAAGGATCGTGCACATATACGTTTCATAACCGCAGTTCATATATATGTATTTCATATGTTTGTTGTTTGATTTATCATCTACGGGTTTATGTCGAATTAATTTGATGGCCTGCTCCCAGTTGGCTTGTTAGCTCGCTGCACTAGTATCGCAGAGGTCAGTGGTTCGAATCGCGTACAGGCCTGAATTTTTTTCAGGTCTGATATAAGCTTCGATTTTGATCTTTAATGTGAGAATCGTGGACCGATGACTGCCAAACAAAGCTTCGGGGCTTTTGAGCACAAGGTTGTATTTGCCCTCTGAGGCTTCCTTGTTTTCGGTTTCTGAACTGTCTGGACCCACAACAACAGCCTTGATTCCTTTTCCTCGTAAGCTAGACACTTTGTCATTCATTAGCGAAACCAGAGGAAAAATTACAAGGCACACCAACTGAATATCATCTCTTTCACCATGTTTGAGGAAATCTATCGCAAATGGCGCGATATAAAAGGTAAGACTTTTTCCCGATCCTGTCGGCAAAATCATCATTCTCACTGATATCTTCGAAATTTAGCAAATGACGGTTTCTGATTGGAGAGTATTGCTACCACACCCTCTGACACACCGCCGACCTAAAATCTGGTCGGTTGGATTTGGCACACTGCAGGTGAGGAAAGTCCGTATTCTGCCCCCTGGACTCTCACAAAAACAGACTCTGCGAAAGTCTAGAGATGTGTGTGCTCTGATTGTTTGAAGATTTAATGCCATCTTTTGCTATAGTCATCTCGTGCAAATAAAACTATGTGACCAGGCTCACAATTGTACATGACATTGCAATATTTTTTATTATAATTTTAGAATTAGATCTTCAGAAACTATTTCCTATGATAACCAAATTATCACACACACAGAATTTGCATTATAAATTTCCTTAAGTCACACCATCACACCTAACTATTTCCTATGATAACCAAATTATCATACACACAGGATTTGCATCATAAATTTCCTTTAGTATGATCACACCTAACTTCCAAAATTTTAGAGAATTTCCTGCTATTGTTTGATTCCTTATAAAAGAAGCACAGTTAGTTTAACTCAGTAGTTCAGAGTGTCAAGATCAGCACTTACAAGCTCAGAACCTCTTGGTCACAGAAAAACTAACTCCAGTGCATGTAACCTCAAGTTAGTGACCTATTTTACTGAGGATTTGCTTGCAATCACCCTTTCTTTTTATCAGTATTATTTCTTTTGTAATTTCCTGTATAAATAAATTTTATTGTGGCTATAAATCTGTCTCGTTGTTCAAATAACATCAGAACCTGCCTCGGTCACACCATCATTATAGCAAGGGAGGGAGCCCAATTTCAAAATGGTTTCCTCATGTTTTAATGTACATGTTCCTTTTGTTACCTCTTTTAAAGAGCACAAAAGATGCTCCTGAGTTTGGCGTAACATTTTTCAAAAGGAAGATAGTTACTGTTGTGTATTCCGAATCAAAGGCCAGGAACACAGTAACCAGATCAAGATGGCGGAAGAACTGTTTTTTAATCGAAAAGCAGAAAACCTCGTGTACAATACCTAATATGGAAAACAGGTCTCGTGACACTAGCTTCTACATAGAACAGGGAAACCAAAATTAGGAAAAATCTAACAGTTACCACAGTTAAGTTTTTGCTAATTGAAATAAATAAACATGTTTAATTCAAGTGGATATATACTGGTTGCTTATCTTGATATGAGTAATCATTAAACAATTCAGTTGTAACAGAATGGTGTCAATGACAAAGCAAATTTACAACAGAATTCAAAAGTATCTGAGCAGTAGTACTATAAATTTGCCTGAGGCTTAGGAAATATTACTGCAATTTGTGAAACAAAACAAAACAAGATGAAAATCTGTAATTTGCAAAATAGAAATCTGTAATCGGCAAAATGGAAATCTGTTAATGATTTGCAAAATAGAAATCTTTAAATCTCAAAATGTTCTTCCTCTTCGTTGAACTCATTGCCTTGAACAGTTGGTACCTGACCTTCACTTTAAATGACTGGTTTAGCGTATGGGGGTCGTGGCCTCTTTGAAGGACTAGAGCACATTTGCACCTGTGACTTACAGGATATAGTGTCAATGTGATGTATAATGGACAGACTCCACTTGAAGAGAGATTGGGGGTCTTATCACTACAATCAACTTGTCTAATAAATGATAAACTTGTATCTAAAATTTATAGTTGTGACCATTTATCTCCAGGTGAGGTCCCCTAAGGGTTTATAGATGAGTATGCACAACTTTAATATTGCCTCACATAGATTCAAGGACAGAAGTCACGTAAGCACTTCTGAAAAGAGATCTCATTTTCACTGGGGTCATTCAAAAACCAGTCTAGAAGGTGTTATTATTACTCTGTTGTATCATACTGTGAAGGAATACGGTTGGATAAATGTAGTTATGAAAACAAAGACCCCAAAAATGAACACCTAAGACCCCCTACAAAAACGAAGACCCATCACAAAAACAAAGACCCATTACAAAAACAATAAAAAAAATAAAGCAATACAGAAACAAGACACCTGAATTCTTTTCTGGCAAAAACCACAGGGAGTAATGGTGTGAAAATGCATAGTTACGTGAACCAAGACCCAGAAAACGAAGACCTAAAACCCCCTACGAAAACGAAGAGCCATTACAAAAATGAAGACCCATTCTGAAAACGAAGACTCATTATGAAAACGAAGACCCCCTACGAAAACGAAGACCCATCACGAACACGAAGACACATTACTAAAACACCACTACTCCCTGTGGTTTTTGCCGGCAAAGAATTCAGGTGTCTTGTTTCTGTTTCGCTTCATTGTCTTTATTGTTTTTATTTTTTCCGTAATGTGCACGTGTCTTCGTTTTCATAGAGGGTCTTAGGTCTTTGCTTTTGGGATATTCATTTTCATAACTATCGTTGGATAAAATTGAATGCTTCAAATCATGGTATTGTCCTCCACTAAAGTGGAACCACTCAAATAAACTGTTTATCTTATGAAATCAATGTTAGCATGCAGATTATCTTTAACAAATGGGAAACACCACAGCGTACACTATTGAGTTATGGATGCACACGGGAGGTTGCTAAGCACAAAAGAAGCATAAGAGTCGTGCGAGGCGATAGCTTCTTGAGGGCTTAGCAAACCTCTCAAGTGCATCCATAGCTCAATAGTGTATACTATGGTGTTTACCATTTGCATAACATTGATGCATTGTAGCAAAAGAGTTTCCTTTTATTTAACAAATCTTACGTGTCAGTAAAGATTTGGAAATGCAAAGACTGGCAAAAACCAACGATAAAAACCGACGTTTCGGTGTCATCATGACGCCATTGTCAAGGAGAAATAAAAAATTACAAAGTTTGTGGCAAGGTGTAACGCTAACATATTTATGCTGATTTAGTGTTACACCTTGCCACAAACTTTGTAATTTTTTATTTCTCCTTGACAATGGTGTCATGATGACACCGAATCATCGGTTTTTATCATTGGTTTTTGCCAGTCTTTGCAAATCCTACGTGACCAGAAAAAACAAACACGTGCGGAAAACTAGTCTTTGCATTTCCTCACGTCAGCAGCGTACACCCATGGGCAAATGGTGGACACTGACTTGACCAATCAAAGCGCGCGCTTTACTTTGGTTATGTTATAATAAAGTTTCTTCTCAAGGCTGACACTGGGCAGTAAGGACCAAACAGCTCTTTTTTTAATTGCATCTGAATCAGTCTGCAGAACTAGTGTACTAAGGTATGGTAAAGGTAAAGTCTGTTTATGAGCCTAGTGGCCCATTAGGCCGGTGCTTAACTCCAGTTTCTGTAGCAATGAAGCCACTAGGAGTATTTCTACTCCCCCCTTGATGGGATGACAGTCCATCACAGGGTTACCCCCAGCATTAAATTTGCCGGTACCCATTTATACACCTGGGTGAAGAGAGGCACTGTGAGAGTAAAGTGTGTTGCCTAAGAACACAACACAATGTCCCGGCCGGGGTTTGAACCCAGACCACTTGATCTAGAGTCAAGCGTACCAACCATGAGGCCACCGTGCCTCCACAGTGTAATAAGGTTACTGTAAACAAAATCTGCTCATATTTTTCAAAATTTAGATTTTGTTTTTACTTGTTAGTAAGAGAAAGCAAGTCTTAAAAAGAAGACAAGATAAAACTGAAAGGGTGTTTTAGCTGTTGGAACTGATAGCTGTTGGAGTTAGAATATGTGACAAGATGAAGGTTGTTTACAATGAAATGACATGTCTAGAGTCTAATGTGGCAAAATGGAATTTGATTGGTGGAATACAATTTAAGCACATGAACAATTCCCTCATATTGATTGATTGGGTATGTTCTGTTTGAACTTTGGACATGGCCATTATATCATATGGTGAGTAAGAGAGTGGTAAGCAAAACATGTTTCAACTTAAAACTGATACAAAAAATTACCTGCCAACCTTTGTGATCCTGATAAATCTCAAACTAAAGCAGCAAAGCTCATATAAAGGCCTCAAACCATTACAATTACAAAATGAACCCACAATTAATTTCTGGTTATAATGTCTTTGTGTGCAGCCCCCTGATTCCGTTACATACCCTAATATCTGTATGGTGCACCGAAGTGGACAAATTAAAATACTTGTGTACGGACATATAAGACTTGTTCTGTAAAATACTTTATACACGACTTGTTGCGAAAATATAAAACTTGTTTTGTAAAATATACAATTTGTTGTGCAAATATAAAACTTGTTTTGTAAAATATAGGACTTGTTGCAAAAAGATAAGACTTGTTTTGTAAAATATATGACTTGTGAAAATATAAGACTTGTTTTGTAAAATATATGGCTTGTTGCAAAAATATAAAACTTGTTGCAGAAATATAAACTTGTTTTGTAAAATATATGATTTGTTGCAAAAATATAACACTTGTTTTGAAAAATATTTTACTTGTTACAGAAATATAAACTTGTTTTGTAAAATATACGATTTATTGCGAAAATATAACACTTGTTTTGTAAAATATACGACTTTGAATAAATATAATACTTTGACTTCACCAACAATTTGAGTGTTCAGTGGTAAGTGGAACACAGCCCACCGCTCCCTAAGCCTCAAAAAAGATGGTGGATGAGTTGGGAGCTCTTCTTAGAGTGTTAGAACTTGAAAAACAAATTTGCGAGGACGTTAGATGAAACTTGTTTGTGGCAGATGAATAAGCAGCTGAAAAACTGAGGAATAACTCTGTTCAACTTATCATTGCATAGTTAAGTGATTAACTATGGTCATTGCTAGCAGACAACTATCATTAGAAATCAGCATGCACCCAGCTGCAAAGCAGCTGACCACAGACAGTGGGTGCCCTTAAAGTACCACTTTTCACTGCGAATAAGTCTCATCTGCAACAAGACTTATATTTTACAAAACAAGTCTTATATTTTTGTAACAATTAAGTGGTATATTTTACAAAACAAGTCTTATATTTCCGCAACAAGTCTTGTATTGTAAAAAAAAAAGTTTATATTTCCACAACAAGTCGTATATTTTACAAAACAAGTTTTATATTTTTGCAACAAGTCGTATATTTTACAAAGCAAGTCTTATATATCCATACACAAGTATTTTTGTCCACTTCAGCACACCATATATTTGACTGGTGCAAGCAATACATACACCACTCTATGTGCTGACATAGATTTATCTATATTTTAATTAATAAAAAAAAAACAATTATAACTCAAAAAGAGATGTTATTGCCCTAAAGTTTCTAAAGGATACTGTTAATAAATGTATAGAGATATGGTTTTAGTAGTTATATAGTAATACTAAAGAAATACAAACCTCAGCAAGTATGTAAAGGGCAGAATTCCCTCTTATGTGCCTTTTAATATCGGCCCCACTCCACACTCCAGTTGTCTGTTGATCCTCATGAAACTCCAGCTTTGATCTATTGTCAGCTGCTGATGCACAGGAAAAACTGAAAGAAGATATCAGAGAAACAAAAACTAAGTAGAACAATGGAGAGACATCTCTATCAATCTATTGCAAAAATGTGCATGATCAACCTCTAAAAGGAAAGGGTTACTATCCTTCATCATGAAGAGGGCCAAGACAAGATGAACAACTTCTTAATATTTAACTAGAAATTAAATTTCCTCAGCCTTCCTTCAAAGATGTAAATTTTCCATGACCCTGACTTTTCCCACGCCTTGAAGTGATTCATTTCGGCTTGAATTTTTCTGACCTGTGACGATCACACCCATCATTATCATGGTGAAAATGAAATAAAGTTATCTTTTCGAAATAGCTTTTTGTTGACCACAAAAAACAGTAAAGGACAGGTGCCATCCACTTTCAATCTCCTAGTCCAACTGTCTGCTATCTTTGCTTGTACCACGTGTTCCTCTTAAGTCTGTATTTTCATCTTATTCAGTTTATTCTTAAAGTCTCTATCTGTTTAAAAGACACTGAAAACAACCATGACATTTAGAGATTGAGACAAATTTTTCCCAGCCATTGACTCCACAAGCAAAATGGTAAAATTAAGTGAGGAACAGTTCCCAAAAGTCATTGTTGGCTGAATATTGGCCGACTGTCAACCGACAGTTTTAGTTATGTTTCAAGCCAAATTCTTGGCCAACTAGCTGTCGGCCAACAGTTGGTGACCTGTCAGTTACTTGTCAGTGGGTCATAAACTGAAATGATCGTAAACATTTTCTTATCTATTGCTTCTAAAACTAAATGAAAAGGGGAAAAGTCACTTAAAAAAGATACATTGCACTTTACTTTCAATATATAGTTATTGCAATTTTTGCCTAGTACCATTAATTATAGTTTTGCAATGCATTTTATGGTGGTTGAAAAACTAGTTTTGGCTTTGCTTATTTGCTACCCCAAAATGGAGAAAAGAGTTTTTTGTGTATAGACAAGGATAATAGAAATAGGTACCAAGGTTACCCTAAATTTTGGTAAATAGTTGGAAGATAGGTTAAACAAGCTTATTTTACCGTTTAAACAGAGTTAAGTAGACAGGTACAAACAGTGCAATTGACAGAGTTCTATTTACTGTTTTCCACTGGAAAAGTTTTGTTTCTGGTTTTGGTCAATTTCTGATCTAGTTAAAGCTGTCGGCTGACTATCGGAAATTTATCGGTAACCTGTCGGCTGACAGGTTACCGACCTTATCAAGAGTTATCAAAATCCAAAATGAAAAATTGGGGTTGCAATGCTATATTCTGAAGATAATAAAGTTTTTTTGCAATTTTTGCCTGGTACCATTAACTATAGTTTTGCAATGCAATATATGGATATATTATATGCATTATGTTTTTATATGCATTATAGGATTTTTGTTTGTGATCAACTGTTGAGGTCATAGACGAAACTAGTTTTGAAGTTTTCACAGTAGTGTGTTGGAAGTAGAAGTTATTTGGAGTTTTTCACTTACATTGTTAATATGGAATAAAGTTTGAAATCTGAAAAAAAGCTGATGTTGCATTTTTTAAAAAATGAAAAAATTAAAATTCTCCAATCAATTCCATTTAAATTCCCTTTTTTTAAAACAAAAACAATAGCATAACGATAACAAGCAAATTATGATCCTCAGAACAGGGTCATGTAAGTTTTTATCATGAAAATGATTGCAATGAGACCACTTTTAACCCTTGTCACTCCACTTGCACAATCAAAAAACACTGGCAAAACAGTTTTTGCACTGAATGAAAAAATTAACTGTGTTTTATAGAAGTTTTTCTTTTTCCTCGATGCCATCAAAAATGGAGGTCATCACCCATTTTCTTAAGTTATTTCAGCTTTTAAAAATTTGTCATCACACTTTGTTCTAGGTTTCCTAACACCTCCCCTATAGGTAAACTCATTGACACCTGTGTTGCAGGATTGTCTTACATGAGAGAGGCTTTCCCTCTACCTCCCCATGCTAAGTAGTAGTAATGTGATTGCAACAAATGATCAAACTGAAGTCCATGTGGCTGACTATCAAAATTTTTTAAGTTGGATTTTCCATTCCTTTCCAACCATGTTAGCCGGCCTTAATTTTGGAGTACCAAATGAAGAGAATATACTACTGAATACTAGCTCTTTTCAAATATATATATATTTACGAATACTTAGACACTCCCAGTTCAGTGACTAGCTGGTTTAAATGGGGCCCTGTGTA